GTGTGTGTGTGTGTGAGAGTGTGTGTGTGTGTGAGAGTGTGGGTGTGTGAGAGAGTGTGTGTGTGAGAGTGTGTGTGTGTGAGACTTGGGGACATTCGGGTGACTTGGACATCGAATTCAGACAGAGACATTGGGAACTATTGCTGGAGACCATTCCTTCGCAGGGCTATGGAGTTGACACCTCCCTCTTCTTCACCCCACCTCTCGCTTCCTCCACCTCCTGCATCTGTGGATGCATTTCAGACACGGCGGCTATCTGCCATGTGTGAGCCGCCATGTCCATCGTATGTGAGTGATGGTGAATGCGTGCAGTCAGTCCTGCGTCATGCTGAGTCAGATCTGTGTGTTTCAGTCTTCTGCTGCGTTGTCATTGCTCTTTCTCCTTCAGTTGGTTCTTCGGTTCTGCACCGTGCCTGTCTGATATCTCAGGCATGAGACACCAGCATTTATACAAATGTGCACTGTGTGCAGGGAATTGTTGCGCTTGGACAGCAGGCATTTGAGAGTGCAAAGCTGGAGTGCAGCACAGCGCCTGATAAGAAGGATTTGGTTGGTTGGGATGCTTCAAGGGCACTTAAGCTTTTTGAATTGGCGGAAGACCGTTTCAAGCGAGCTCACGAGGTAAGCAAAGAGCACTGCACTGCAGAAAACGTTTAGAAGCTACTTGCAAGTGCACATCGTGCACGCGGTCAGCACGAGCAGCCCACACACCGGACTGTTGTGAGGCGGACGTGTGTGCGGGCAACGATCGGTAACCCCCACGGCCCCCTCCCAAAAAAAGGCCGGGGTTGAAACGGCAGTGTCCGGGCCCGTGCCAAAAAAATAAGGACCAAGCATGAACTGAGTGGATGTTTTTGGTTTCAGTCACTTCGGAGGAGCCCCGTTCCCATCCTGCAGGTCGCCGTGCCACGCTGTCACCAGAGTTTGTGTGGAGGTCGCCATCGTGCCCGGAGGTCGCCATCCTGCTGTCGCCATCAACCGGTGAGTATCACCAGCCTACCGATCTCCTCTTCCTCCTCCTCACTTCCTCCTCTGCCTGCTTCTCCCCCTCCCCCCCTCGTACTCCTCCTCCATCTCTCCTTGTTTCGTCCTTGTCTCCTTCGTCTCTCTCCCATCTCTCTTCCTCCTACTCCTCACTCGTCTTTCCCTCCGTCCATCTCTTCTCCTCCTCCATCTCTCCTCCTCCTCCACTTTGTCCTCGCCATCCTCGTCGTCCACCTCCTCCTCCCCCTCTCCCAGCCAGGTATCTATGTGGTTAGGATATTTAGGGCTTGAAATCGTAGAGGAGGAGGAGGAGGATGGGTGGAGGACAGACGGAGGAAACAACTCTGGAGGAGAAGAAGAGATGGAGGGGGGACAAGCTGGTTTGGGAGGGGGGGGGCGGGGGGGGGAAGGAAGGGGGGCATTGCAGAAAAACGACATGTAGGGGGGCATTGCAGAAAAACGACACATAGTTCTTCTGCAATGCCCCCCTTGAACCCCCCCCTCCCTCTCCATCTCTTCTCCTCCTCCTCTCCTCTGTCTGTTCTCCAACCATCCTCCTCCTCCCTTGTCTTTTCCTCCCTTCACCTCTTCTCCTCCTCCATATCTACATTTCCTCATTGTCCTGCTGGTTCTCCTCTACCTCCTCCTCCTCCAGTCCCACCTCGGTATCTATGTCGTTACTGCTGGGCTTGAAATCATGAAGTAGCCCTTCTCCCTCGTATGCTCCATTCCTCAATCCCTCCATCTCGTCTCCTCCTCCTCCTTCCTGCAATTGCTAGAAATATCTCCTCCATATCTCCTCCATGTCTCCTCCATCTGTATCTTGCATAACCAGTCCATCTGTCCTCAACCTCTCCTCCATCTGTATCTTGCATAACCAGTCCATCTGTCCTCCATCTGTCCTCCATCTGTATCTTGTATAACCAGTCCATCTGTCCTCCATCTCTCCTCCATCTGTATCTTGCATAACCAGTCCATCTGTCCTCCACCTCTCCTTCATTTCTTGTCCATCTCTCCTCCATCTCTCGCTCATCTCTCCTCCATCTCTTGCCCATCTCTCCTCCATGGCTCCATCTCTCCTCCATCTTTCCTCCATCTATATTCATCTGTCCTCCATGTATCTTCTATCTCTCGTCCTATCCCCTCCATCTCTCCTCCCATCTCCATATCACCTCCATCTCTCCCCCATCTTTCCTCCATCTCTCCTCCATTTCTCCTCCATCTCTTGCCCATTTCTCCTCCCTCTTTCCTCCATCTCTCTTCCATCTCCCGTTCATCTGTCCTCCATCTCTCCTCCATCCCTCCTCCATCTATCTTTCATCTCTCTTCCATGTATCTTCCATCTCTCGTCCTATGCCCTCCGTCCCTCCTCGATATCCCCTCCTCCTCCCCGCCATTGGTGGAATACTGCTCGTAGATTCGTCTACCCCCCTTCTGCCCGCCATATCCCCTCCTCCTCTCCTCCTTAACTCCATCTCTCCCCATCTCTCCTTCCCATTAATCTCTCCCCATGTGTTTGCCCACTAGTGGCTTAAGTTGTTGGTACTCACCGGTTAATGGCGATAGGGAGGATGGTGATGCTCCTCGGTGTGGCTCGGTGGTGCTCTTCGGCGCGGCTTGGCGACCAGCAGGATGGTGACGGCGCGCCTCCGAAGTGGAAGTATCTGATTGTTATTTTAAGTTCAGAGTTACCACCCTCCAACCAACTTCCACCATAACTCTGAAAAGAAAAGGAAAAAACACTACGTATGGGGTGCAGGGCTCGAAGCGCACTAGCTCCACACTGCACGCACACCCACTCTGCTGCTCTGTGGAACACCGTATGGGCCAGGTCTAGGTGGTGCCAAGCTGTGCGGAGAATGGTCACCCCCCTGATGCCATGCGGCACACCGCACCGCACGCATGTGCGGCTTATGCAGTTGCAAGTATGTTTAGAAGTTTCAAGTGTGTTTTGTTGCTGACAATTCTTCTCTCTGGCAATTTGTGGCAAATGAATTTTCTTCCCCAAGTTTATGTGCACATTTTGATGATGATGATGATGATGATGATGATGATGATGATGATGATGATGCACCTCCTTCCCCCAATATTACACAAGGGATCCTCCTCCGACTGCCCTCCACCACAAGGTTTGTCCTACACATGAGCAGTTTGTCGTTGTTCATGGACCAGTAGAGGCTATTTCGCTTGCGAGCACACAAGAAGTCTGAGATCGACTCTCGTAGGAATGAACTCCACAGGTATCAACTTATTATAGGCTACAAGTCATTAGGCGTGCCGTGGGCACTGACCGCGGCTAACGGCTGTGGTCAAGATTTGTGTGTCTGTGTCTGCACGGGAACTGGAGAGCATTTCCCCGTGGGCGCATCTCTTGACGGAATCGACAGCAGGCATAATTTGGCCCTTCCTGCAGCCAGGCGGTATTTAGGCTGAGTGCTATTATGTGGCCTGGGTCATATTATGCAGGCTGGGTCGTATCATATGGGGCAGGTCACACCATGTGGACAGCGCAGCGCTATGCAGGATGTCGGTCAGGTGGCACTACGTGGGGCTGGTCACACTATACGGACTAGGCGGTACTACTTGGGCAGGGTGTTATTATGTGCCGTGGGTGATATGAAGTGGGTTGGGTGGCACTGTGGAACAGGTCATACTATGCGGACTTGGTGGTACTATGTAGCGCAGGTGACACTGCGTGGGCTGGGTGGTACCATGTGAGGCGGGTAGTATGTGTACCAGATGGCACTGCAGGCCGGTACAGTACCGGGCAGGGTGAGCCATAATTTGTGGACTGGATGGCACAGCGGGCTGGCTGGTCCTGTGCGGGACACGTGGGCATACGTGGGCTGGGTGGTGCAAACTACCAAAAGCACCCAAAAAATAAAAAAACACGAACAACCAAGTAAAACGAAGTCCATGTGGCCGAATCTCATCAACAGTCGATAGGCAGACCTGAGCTCTAATCCTGCAACTACGAGGGCATATTCATACTAGGACTTTTCCTACTAAACTCTGGACGGGTATACTCACACTAGGAGCTTATAGAGCTCTGGACGTTATTGCAGTCAGATTCGTCAATGTATGGCCGTAATCGTGGTCAAATGCTTTTGGAAAGTTCCAGTGTGAGTGCGCCCTGAACTTTTTTCTTTCCTTTTGGGATTGGAGCTCATGATGTCTTTGCAAGCAGGCAAGTGTCAACGTGTGGCCAAATCGCGGTCAAAGGCATTTTGGAAAGTTCCAGTGTCAGTGTGCCCTGAACTCTTTTCTTTCCTTTGCGATTTGAGCCCATGACGTCGTTGCAACTTGCAAGCAAGCAAGCAAGGGTCTTACTTCCACTCCAAGCGTGTCTTCTTTCCACTCCAAACGGGGGCCCTGGGGTAACGTTGAATTATAATCTCCTACGAGATGACATATTGTACGATGTTATCATATTATCTATCTACCTCTCCCATGATTATATTGATACTACCTAATATTGTCATAATATCTGCTAATTTCATTCCATTAGCAGGTGGAGGAAGTACTTCTAAATTAATAAATCCTGGGGGACGAATTTCCAACGCCATGGGAATATATTGTCATCTCCAATTAAAAAGATACCCAATTCTCCTTTAGATGAATCCAGTCTAACATAATGCTCTTGTTTAGGGATTTTAAAAGTTGGTGATGATGTCCTTCGGCACATCCGTTAAAATTGGAACGATACAGAGAAGATTAGCATGGCCCCTGCGCAAGGATGACACACATAAATCAAGAAATGGTCCAAATTCAAAAAGAAAAGAAAAAAAAGCTGTGTGGGGATCCGGACCGCCCGGGTGACCGGCAGGGGCCCGGGGGAGGTCCCGGGCAGCCTGGCCGGGCAGGGCACCCGGTTGGGGGCCGGGCACCCCCAGCGCACTCAACTGCCGGGGGATTTCGGACCCCCTTTGTGTGTGTGTGTGTGTGTGTGACACAGAGAGAGAGAGAGAGAGAGAGAGAGAGAGAGAGAGAGAGAGAGAGAGAGAGAGATGTGTTCGAATCATACTTGCAGCGGGGTGCCGCACGCGCATGCATGCACGCACAAGTGATGCGTCGCATTAAAAAAGTAGAAAAACAAAAATGTCCTAGTTGTGTCCAGCCTCTTTTCGGAAGGATCCTTACAGCATATTAGCTAGGACCCGACGTCATGAAGAGGTACACTTCAAACTTGTACTCTCTGGGGGTGGGCAGAGTATATAGTCTGGATCTAGGAAGATTCTCACGCCCGGCCGGGCACCCGGGCGTCACGCCTGGGGGGTCTGGCGTCTGCGCTCTCCCAGAGGACTCCAAATCTGGGCTCATTTCGGTTTTTGCGAGTTGGCTGTCAAGTGGGGGGGAGGGGGGTATAAATTTGTTTTAAAGGGGCTAAAGGGGTCTAAAGGCGGATGTCTTTGTTATTTTTTTTTAATCTCCGATTCTGTGAGGAATTATAATGTGACCCTCAGCCAAAAGTCGTTTGTATTTCAATTCTACATAACATTTTGTTTTCCGGAATTTTTTGAGGGTTTTTTTTTTTTTTCTTGGCGCTGGGGCTGCCCGGAACCCTGCCCGAGGGTCATGCCGGGCCGGGCACCCGGGCGTGTATCCGGGCAGAAGTTGGGTGCCCGGGCGCCCGGGAA